GTTTGTCTTTGTTTCCATACCCATACATATTTTAAATTTTTTTTTCACTTTTGCTTCTTGTGTTTATTTCATTTTGTTATAAGGCTTCTTGGTGGCAGCACTTTTTATTTACAACAGTAAAGGCCCCAAGATATAAGACTATAAACCAGGGATGGCCAACCTTGTGCATCCGATGAGCCAAATTTTTGACAGACGAGTTCAGCTATGCCATATAACATGAGCACTTTTGATACTATCTTATGTTCATAATGATAGACATTTTATATAAAATTAACATTTATAAGTGATTTAATTATTGAATGTAAAATGATACCTATTGCAGCACATAAACATTAAGTATCATTACTGAAACTTTAGAGCCTATTTCAATTTCACTAGTCTTTTTATTATTTGGTGTTAAATTTGTAACTGAAAGCAGCAGAGAATTCTTCAAATTTAAATGTTATTTGCGACCTTGTTTTTAATCAATTTCTTTGATGAAAATGCTTGTTCACATCTGTGTATTATTAAAAATGACATATATATTTTTTTGCAAATTTTCTTAGCCCTGAGATATGTTTGCATGGTAGTGAATGCCAGAAATTAATTGCATCTGAAGCCTACTGATGTTGAAAAAGCTCACCAAATTTCATTTTTTAAGAATTTTGAATTTGTTTTTAAATTAATCAGTTCCATCATTTGTATGTTTCTAGGCATCTGCATTGTTTTGTTCACTAAGCGAAAATGAGTTTTTTAAGGAAGAATGCAGTTGTCTTCTTTAGCAAAATTATGAAAATGACTTTCAAATGTCCTTTGCAGTATCCCTATTTTGTTAATATATTTTGATTGAATTGTTATTCTCAGCACATTCATTGTGTTCTTTCAAGCATGGACGTTTGACTGAAATCCTCATTTTTGTAACTGAGAGATGAACAATTCTAATTTAATTTCAAACTTGATGCTATTTATTAAGCTAGGAAATAATTTTTTCTTGCCTTGTACTTTTAAATTTAGATCATTGAGATGGCTCGCATCAACTAAAAATGCCAAATGAAATAATCATTTGTCAAATTATTAGGTCCTTTCGTTACGTAGTTCATTTTTCTGTTCTAAAGGGTAAGAAATAGAATATTTTTAAGTTTTCAAAATCTATGCAGAACCTGCTCTCTTGAAAGCAGCACAACAGTCAAGGTTATGATCACCATATTCCAAGCCTAATGATTCACAATATTCTCTGAATTCTCATCTTTTTAATGCTATTGTTTTAATTTTATTTGCATATTTTACATTTTGCATATTTTAAGTTTTGGCTCACCGTGCCTCTTGGTGTATAATGTTATGATATTTTAGTATAGGATAATTTAAAAAATTTTCAACCAAAGTTTCAGTACCATTGACTTTATCTATCACTGAGAGTGCTCCATCAGTACACACACTGATCAGTTGGCTACAATCTAATTTTTGATTTTCTAAGAATGATTTTACTTTTTTCAAATATGTTTTATCCTCTTGTTTTAGAATGCAATGACTCCAAGTTCTTCAGAGACATTAAAGTTATCATCAGTTCCTCTTATAAAAATACATAACTGTGCAACTTCAGATATAGCCATCCATTGTTCAAAGCTAAGAAAAAGTGCAAGAATGGGCAAGGTCTTCCAATTTCTGGGATATATCTTGAGAGAGTTCCTGAATACGTATCTGCCTTGATACAGCAATTTAGTTTTTCTAGATACAGCAATTTCAATTTAGTTCAAACTAGATTGCTGTATCTGCCTTGATACAGCAATCTAGTTTGCTTTTCTTTCAATACTTTTATTATCAAGATGGTGTGCAAATATCTGGAGGGAAGGCTTAACAATTTCTTTTCCATCAGAAAGTTTTTTTTTTTTTTTTTTTTTTCAGAATTAAAGCAATTTGATATGATGCTTCTGTCATTGCTACGACTTCACAACTTACTTAAGCAAATATATTTTGTCTTCTAATTTCTTCCTTTTTACTTCACAACTTACTTAAGCAAATATATTTTGTCTTCTGATTTCTTCCTTTTTCTTAGTCCCTTACTCTTTTTGCAATACAGACCCAAGAACAAACTTCACTTTTTTTCTATATAAGTCTAATGCTGAGTTTTATAATGTCTATGAAAATCATGTCTTCTATTGCATGAAAACGTGCTTTCACAAGAAATGCAAAACAGTTTTTCCGATGAATTTGCCTTAAATAATTCATTTTCCCATTGTTCATTAAATTCACACCTACTGTCACTTTCTGTGCTTCTTGTGGTCATTTTATTTTGCATTGTAATGGATAAAAGGAATTTTAAAAACAGAAAATTTACAAAACTAAAAAATTTTGAAAAAAGAGCAGATTACAGTTGCATTCATCATATCACACACACAAAAAAAAAAAAAAAAAAAAAAAAGCTCTTGCAAAAACTCTGCTTCAAAACTCAACACCACGATGGCTCACCTGGAACTGATTGAAGCACAATTTGTAAACAGGTGCCACAAGTACTTGAAAATTACAAGCATGCTGTTAGTGGTAATTAAACCAGTATGTTATGTTGAATGATATTAGAACTATATTTCATCATTTCTCGCTCATTTTCGTGTATTGAGCTAAAATGTCAGAATCTTTCACTTTCGTAGAGTTATCACTTTTCATGAGAAAGAGTATACTCTAATATACAATGTATTTTACATTAATTTATTAGGTAGTTCAGTATGTAATGCATTTTGGGTCACAAAAAACTTAAATTATTAATTTATTTAATGCTGGACATTTTTGGGAAACCAGTGTATTTATATTTTAAGATAGGTATTGCATTCTATTATTTATATTAAATAATATCTCCTTATTGTAAGTATATTCTTAAATATATTCTTATTACTAGTATCTATATATTACTGTATATATATCGGGGGGGATGCGAAAAAGGTATAGTGGCCCAGGCTCCACTTATGCTAGCTTTGCCATTAATGGAACTATGACAGTATTGCTTTTGTGGGCATTTTCTTAATGTTTATTTTGAAAGGAAATTTATTCATGAAAAATATTTTTAAGGGAAACATTTTGTTCATTAAGTTTGATCTCGCTTGTTAGTTTCCTATGGATTTGTATGTAACTGACAGATGGTATTTATCATGAAACCATTAAAAGTATAAAATATGTGCATCAAGCTGTATCAAATGCATAAGCTAATAAAGTATTGTGTTCAGTGTAAAATAAAATTTAACTAGATGCAGATAATCATTCTTTGAAAAATAGATTAACCATTTTTAGAATTTAATTTTCGGTCATATTAGAAAAATGTGCTTAAAGACATACTCATTAATTATTTAAAAATAACTGTTGATCTAATTTAAAAAAAAATGAAAATCATATTCTTTCTGGCTTGTAGTCGATATTTGTTTTAGTGATATGCATTTACCCCTAACACCTATAAGTTCACATTGGCCAATTTGACTGATGGGCATTTTTATTTTCTGATACTGGCAACATTGTTGATTGGAACTGAGGGAGTTAATCTTTGTTAATTTAAATGGTCTTTAATTTTTTATTTAAAGTAATAATGCATTTGATGTTTTTTAAATAGTAAAACAGGTAAAAAAAACATTAAAAATGCATGCATGGTCAAAACTACCGCATGTACACTGTTGTGTTATAATGAGCGTGTGTTCTTATAGGTGTTAAATATCATTTACTGAAAATTAAAGGATACATTTTATACTTCAATTCATTTCTTTAATACTTTTAGTATATTTTATTTCATTCTGTAAAACTTTTAAAAATGCACATGTTTTTATGTTCAAGTGTGTTCATTGTTAATGTGTGTTGTAGCAGTGCTCACGGGAAGATACCATCTTAAGAAGGCTAAAGAGTCCAGCTGCATACTTTCTACTACTCGTATGGAAGACTACCATATTTTCCACATGTCTGTGGTGCATAGCACTGCATCTGCAGCAATATTGAAGCTTTGGCACTTTTCTGAAAATTCAGCATATGCAGAAGATATTTTGCCTTATTTTAAAAATCGTTAGAATAATGAAGTGGATTTTGTGCTCTGTAGAAACAACCTAATTTTTATTCTGGAAATTCTTCTCTTCTGTGTAATAACCATAAATATCTAACCACAAAATATAAATCTAAATATGGAAATGATTTTAAAATTAGATTCAAATTAAGCTCACTTTAGCAATGGTGTTATAGAAAAAATGCAACCTAAGTTATAAATTTTTGCCTAATTTTATACTAACATAATCTATGTACACAAATGAATTTTGATGCAAGGATATTCTTCAACAATGACTACTCTGTGCAACTGACAGGATCTAATATTCTAGCTATTGACCCTCCGTGTGTTTAACAGTATTGATTTACATTACTCATCATTTCATGCTTTTGGTTGAGGCTTAATAGTCCTTGAATTTTGAGTTGCTTTCTTTCCAGCAGCAAATTATAAATAAGTCTGATTAACAAATCCTTACCAGATAAAGCACCATTAGTTTTATCAACTTTAAAGCTAGCTCCAAGAAATTATAAACTTCTCCTTTTTGACTGAAGTTTGGTTATTCCGCTTTTGCTGTATGGGGATGTTATAAAAAATGTTTAATTTTCTATTTTTAAATTTACTGTACCCCCAGTGTTGAACACATTCTCATGAAATTCTGTCTTATGTAGAGAAACTTGACTGGAAGTTTGCATAGGTTTAATAGCTAAGAAAATAATGCCTATAACTCTTCATAAGCAATATACATATCAGCAATGCTTAGAAACGGTATATTAAATTCCAGAAAGCAGTTTGAAAGAAGGGTTCAAAATAAAATGTACCGAAATGTGTAAATGTAAAAAATAGATAGTAATATTTTGGTAAGGCATAAGGATAATGAAATTATTTAATTTTTGAAAGCGACATGCAGTTAAAAAATATTTAATAAGAAAAATTATGCATTCCAGTGTATTTATCTTATATATTTCTAGGTTTTGTAGATAATGTAATCAATCATGAATTTCTCTCTTTACAGGAGGACAAAACTGTGAAGAATTGCAAACCAATCTGATTATTTGATTGCGTTTATGAAAAAGTAATAAAGGACCCCATATCTCACCACAGTCAAAAATTGCCACTGAAAAATTGTGTAACACTTTAGAGACATCACTAATGAGGTAGTAACATATATAAACAGAAATTTTGACACAGTATTTCCATTTTATTATATTGCAGGCTGTCCTATTAGTAGGACAATGGTCCTTTACACTACTGAAAAAAAAATTGCATACTTACTCAAGCAATTAACAATGAAATTTGGGAAAATAGTCAGTACAAAGTCTAAATACTGCATAATTTTGAAAATAGTTGTTGGTTTTTTCTTGCATGTTTTTAGCGGCCCACCAGCGGCCAAGCGGTAAAGTCGCTGAACACTGGTAGTTCAGTCCGACGTTCGAATCCTGCGAATGGATTGGCTGCATGGGTATTTATGTTCTCTACACTGAGATGGATGAGCTTTTTATTATTTGGCAGAGAACTGCATTGCTTGACGTTTCTAGGTACTGCCTGGTCTAAATAACTTATAGTAATGGATCTTCGAAATATTAAAATGCCTTGCATTTTCTCAGGACAAAACAGTTTGGAAATTTGCCATGCTTCAGTGATAGCTGTTTCAAAGCAGTTCAAGAAAAGGAGTGAGTACCACTTTTTTCCTTGTATAGAAGTAAAATCAACTTCTACATGGCTGTAAAAAAAAATCCACCTCATTTTTGTATTTGTTGTATGAAGTCGCACAAAATGGAACATTCATTTTCGTACTGCTTCCTTTCACCCTACACTCTACTTTGTTTTTCACTTTTGTTTCTTCAAAATTTGTCAGCATAGACACTACATGATTATCATTCCATATAACAGCTTTTTGTTACCAACTGCAGCTTTTTGTTTGTTTCATCAAACGGTGCATTAGAAGAGCCTCTCTGTTTTACTCAATGCTTTCGAATGCACAAGTGAACATTTTGTCATTCGATTACCTCACATAGTTCCAGTTTCTTTCAAACAAACAAGTAATCCATTAGATGAGGAAAATAAATGTTCTGTAAATGTTTGCAGAAAGACAGCTGATGCAGGGTATGATGTATGTGTAACTCAAACCTTTGCACTTATAGGAAGGTGATATTCAGCCATTGAAAAATTTTGTATGATCATGAATAACCTACCTTTTTCGTCAAGGACATAAATAAGTGTAAGATGTTTAGATTCTGTGTATTCTATCCCATCGCAAAATATATTTGCGGATGCTCATAAGAAGATTCTGGATATCGAAGCATCTGTCCAAATTCAGCAAAATTTGTTGATATAGGTGTTTCTTTCGATGGAGCGTGGCTAATGCACGGACATTCATCACTCATAAGAGTAAGACGTGTTATTGATATCCTTACAGGTTATATGATTGACTTCTAAGTAATGAGCAAAATGTGCCATCACTGTTCATTAGCAAAGCAATTCAAGGAATTAAGTGCTGAATTTAAAATATGGTATGATGGCCATAAAAGTGAGTGTGCGGACATTGAAACAGATGATCCCACACGGGATCATCTGTTTCAATGGAAATAGAAGCTGCATTGTTTCTTTGGAAACAGTCCGTATCACTAAGATTTCAATATTTAACTCTGCTATCTGCTGGTGATTGTAAAACTTAATTACTTGAGGGTGAAAATGGTTTATGATTCTGATATCGAAATAAGAAAGGAAGAATGCATAAACCATATCACTAAAACATTAGGAACAGGTTTGAAAACTGTTGTAAAGGACTGGTGGGTGCAAGGCATTATTTTAGGAGGAAACATTCACGGAAGCTAAAAACAAGCATCAGATAAAAAGCTTACTAGCTATTACCAAAACGTTATTTTGAGACGGGGGGGGGGTAAATGTTATGAAAACAGCAAGGTAACAAACCTCAACACTCAAAATGCCCTACAGGGTTTGATTTTTGGTGCTTTTACCAGTCACCATCAGTTAAAGGTGAAACTCCAGACAAACATAAATTGAAAGTTGGAACACCAAGAAATGAAACATATGTTCCAAAAATTCTTCCCATTTATCAGAGGCTTGCTTCAAATGAACTGCTTGGTAGATGTATAATTTGCAGAATGCAAAATACTAACGAAAGTTTGCACAATATGATTTGGGCGAAGTGTCCAAAAGAAATTATTGTGCATAAATTACAAATGAAATGTTCTGTAATGGAAGCAGTTTGTGAATTTAACAAATTATCAGTACACACTATGAAAGATATGCAAAAAGCTTTAGGAGTGTGTATGGGAAATGCAACAACAACAAAAAACTAACTGTTTTAGGTAGTCGCAAATTTCCTTTAGAAAGAGATGAAAAAAATGACAGTACCCGGCTTGCTTGTAAATTAGTTAAAATGGCAATACATAGAGGAGAGCAAGTGGCAAAGAAAAGGGAATCATATATGCTACTGAACATTTTTGAACAAAATTATTCTGTGATTGCTAAATTTAAAATAGTTTAAAACTTCTCTGTTTATTAAAATTAAAAAATTGAATAAAACCACCAGTTATTATTATAGTTTAGAAATGTTTTATTAGCAATATTGTAGTTGATTCATATATTGGAATTGTTTTGAGTATGTCATAATGAATGAAAACTGATAAAGAAAAGTAGTATTTATATTTTATGATTTTTCATGCAGTATTTCTACTCAGGTAAGGTTTTAAATAAAAGCTTATAAGGACTGTTTTTATTACACTATAGAATTGCAATAAGTTTAATTTTAGAAGTATGAAAAGTATTAAAAAATTGGAAATGTTTTTATAACCATTTTAAGAGTTTACGTTTTTGAAACTGTGTTTACTCAATTTCTATTTTTTCAATAAATCCTTTTATTTAAAATCTTAAAACTTGGACAAATCTGTACCAAATTGAATGATATTTTTCCTGAATGCTTATTATGAATTAACAGAATAAAGGATGGATTTTTGCAATATATTGAAAAGTACTACGACTGCAAATGTAATGGAAATCGTTTTTTTTTTTTTTTCCAGAATTTTTTGCGCACACACACATGTATATATATATAATAAATGCATATATGCATTTTATTTTTTCCTTGAAAACTAATTCATTAATTGCAAAATCGGTCCTTAACGTTATAAAGAACACTCTAATAAATGTAAAAATTTTGGGTGTAAAAACATTGAAAACTGAAGAGGAAGAAAAGTTTAAAATTTTTTTTTAAATTAAAATTTTCTTAAAAAGTTGCCAGCAATTTTTTTAAATCAGTATATTTCACAACAGCATTTAAGAATATTCATAAAAATTGAATGTTAGTTAAAAAAATTCATTCAAAAGATATCGAACCGCCTTAATATCTGGTTTTAAAGAGCTGAGAGATCCTTCAATAATTCTCTACAGGTACTGGAAATATGATTCAACTAGTGTTTCCTGTTTGCGACTCTAAAATTAAAGACGCATCAAGTCTCTAATATTTTATCGCTGCTGCTGAACTACAACTGGCACACTGAACAACAGACAAACATTTGAAGAGTGCTGTTGTGCATGCTATGCAAGTAGAAACCATTAAGCAAACAAGTAGGCATGATCAACACCCTGTAAATGTAGTCAACTGCACATAAGACCCATTGATTTAAAAGCAGGAAGGATGTAACGATAGAAGCGAAGACTTTAAATTCACTTAAGGTGCAGGGAAGCAGTAATAACGGTGAATGGCATTTACAAAACAATGCCATCAGCCTCGTTGCATATGATTCTACAGCAGGAGTACTAAATGGCCATACCGAAGGACAGAGGTTGCCGCATACATCAAATACCCAATTCAGTATCCTTCGTATTGTTATTTCATGTTGGATATCACAGGTCTTGCGTGCAAGAAGTCAACCATTTTTCATCCCACATGATAACATTATAGTGAATATTATTATGCTGAAAGGCCCTAGTATTAGAGACACCCTTTAATAATGCATCGGTCTACCTTAGCTTTGATTACAGCCAGTACTGTTCTGGGTGTGGACTCGAGTTTCTGAGGAATATTAGACCCTGCTGACATCTCAAGTGATACCGATCTTGACTATTATCAGGAGAATATCACCCATGCTGACATAATGGCATCTTTAATTTCATTCAAACTGGATTATGCCTCTTCCAAATGGTCTCTCCACTTCAATCGACAAATGTTGATTAAGATTGAAATCAGGAGACAGAAGGCCGTGGGAACAATTTGAATTGCGAATCATGCTCTTCAAAATCTGAAATCAGTCATGCATGATGACACTGTGACCATCTGCATTAGAGCGAATCGCAGCCATAACCATAATTGGCAATGATACCGAGGTAAACTCTGGTGCTTAGAGCTATTTCCAGAAATATCAAAGGACCCGCTGCTCTCTTAGAAAATATTATACAGACGATAATTTCATGGCCTTCAACTTCAAGAATTGCCATTAGGTAAGACAGGTCCATGAATTCACCCTATTTGTGCAGTATTGATTATTCTTATTTGCAGGATGGAGTAAGAAACTAGATTCAGATGTTTCAGTTAACAATACATGTATATCCAAATCTATGTTAATATTAATCTGAATCAGACGAAGTAAGTTTTTTCAGTCATCATGGCTCCATGCTATTTGGACCATAGCAACCATGATTTCCTGTTCATCAGTAATAGCTTAGGCATCTTTGACAGACTTCCATTGTTAAGCCTTTTCCAATGAGAAGTGCATCCCGTTCTGCATTCAGGTATGGCTTGGTGAGGCACTTGATTTGTATTACATTGCAGTTTTTCATGTTATTGCCTTTCCGTTTTTAGGTGTGGTTCGTGCCAGCTGTCTTTCATCTCTTTTCGCTCGCCAAAATTGTTTGTCCGGAATTTGCGTTAACGCCTGATGTTTTCTTTGTTTTTCACTGCTATTTCCAAACAACCAAGATACTATTACACGAAAAAAATCTGTAACATAGCCATGTAAGAGATGCTACAACCGAATCTTTTCTCCACTTGCTGTTATACCTTCTTCAAAATCTCTCAAATCTTTCGTTTAAACCATTTTCACTCTAGATCTAGTGATGATTTAATTCTTCTCAGAATGCGAGTGGTTTATATATGAAATTCCTAAGTGCTGCATCACTGTAAGTGACTGACAGACTGTTCATGTTAATAATAAATGGTTGTCTTTTGTATTTTTGTCACTTGGTGTATTTTACGAAATGGTTTTTTATTTATTTTTTATTTATAAATATTTATGAATAGTCGAAATGGTCCATGTTTGAACAGACATGTTCTGTATATTGCTTTGTCTGTGATTTCACAGACTATAGGAAAATGAATGCATACTTAAGTTTGCATTCTTTGTAGGTAAGTGTACCATATTTGTAGGCGATATAACGGATCTGTGCATCCTCGATTTTGACTTTTACAGAACTACAGATTTTGTTTGCATGTAAAAATTAAACTCTACACTTATACTGAACAGATCCATATGTTTGGAGTGGATGACAATGAAATGTATTGCTCTAGGACAGGGGTCTCCAAACTACGGCTCCCAGGCTAAATCTGGCCGCCAGTGTCATCAATCTGGTTTGTGACAGCCTAATGGCGAATTTTTGTTATTGTTGCTGTTATAAGTTAGATTAAAAAAAACAGAATAATAACATCTCACTTGTATTTATTTGTTCGGTAAAGCTTAATGACAAGTGTCCACTTGTAAAAAATACTAATGAGATTTATGTAATTGTGATTTTCCTCTGACAATAATTTGTATTTGTGGACCAATTTTACTTGTACTAGTTATTAAAAGAGATTTAAGATGTTTATCGGTTAACTTAGATCTCTAAGCATGCTTTGTATACTTTATTTTGGAGAATGTTTTCTCATACAAGGAAGTATTACCAAAAATAGAAAACAGCCCACGAGCAGATTATCAAATTGTACCAGTGGAAGGCTTATAAAATTCTAACAAAAATGAGTTTTGATATTTGTTCTTAATTATATCACTGCACTGTAAATCAGTAATTTTAAATTGAAGTTCCCCGGGCTAGAGTTTCAATGTCAATATCAAAATGATTTTGAAAATCTTAATTTCATTTGCAATGACAAGTCTGAGAAACGAGTATTGAAATTTATCTTCAAAGCAATTAAAGCTTCGATTGCAAAAGCGACGGGAAATTCAGAGTGTGGCTGAATATTTCACGTTTAAAAATGTGTGAAAATTTTTTTTACGTAATTGTGATTGAAACAGTACTGCTGAAACGATCTGATATTAGTGTATAAATCAGGAGAAGTTGATTTTCTGCCAATCTCAAATTAGTTCGTTCAGATGTATTGAAGAATCGACATAGAATGCTAACTTAAAATGCCATTCGCTATTTTGTAATTCGGTAAGAGAGCAATGCTTTTTCATTCAAAAAATTTCAATGACTGCTCGAAGTTAAAAAAAAAAAAAAAAAAAAAAAAAAAAACGCTGAAGGACTTTTTTGCAAGTCAGCGTTCGGCAGTATGATATGGTAAGTCATTTTCTCCAGTTTCTTCAATAAACTCGCGAAATTGTCGGTGATTCAGCCAAGTGGATCTAATAAAATTAACAACTGATATGTCTGGTTTTAGAACTTCAGGCGTATCCAAAATTTCGCACACAAAGATTGTTGATGAATAATACAATGTAAGGTTACAGAAAAGGCTTTATAGTCAAATAGGCTTTTATATTCAAAGGCTATAGAAAATGATGATTTTGACACGAGCAACCACTGTTTTATTTTTACCACACATGTTTCTGCCTCCATCAGTTGTAATAGATTTCAAGTTTTTGCATCGAAGGTTTTTTTTTTTCCTTAATGGCATTTTCAGTTCTCTTTAAAATACCTTTCCCAGTAGTACTATCAATATCAAGTTCTTCATACACTTCCACAACCTTTATCTACTCCTCGAATAAAAAAACACCTGAGTAGTGAAGATCTATAAAAATGAAGAGACGGGCCGTCTGTAATGTATTAGCTCTTCTACCGTTGTTATTATTTGTGCAAAGTGGATAAATGACGGTGAAACTAGTAGTGGACGCTAAGGTGTTGGACGTCCGCGCGTCATCAGAGAAAAGGGACGTCGGAGACTGTACCGCCTGGTACAGAAAATTCGACACCAGACAGTGGCTCATTTGACAACCTAATACAATGCAGTCCAAGTGCGAGTGTTTCGTAACACACAGTTCAGTGGACATCCCACTCATGTGCGTCTGTCGACTAAGGCAATAGTAGGCTTGGGAACATCAAGACTGGACCATGGATAATTGGAAGACAGTTGCCTGGTCGGATGAATAACGATTTCTCATTCATCAAGTCGATGGTGCTGTCAGGGTACGCCGTCTTCCAGAAGAACAGTTGCTCCCTCCCTGTACAACAGGTCATACGCAGACTGGGGGTGGCGGTATTGTGTTTTGGGGGTACTTTCTCATTGGATGCTTTGGGACCCGTAGTTGTGATAGAACAAACTGTGAAAGTACCGGACTATCTGAATTTAACTGCGGATCAGTTGCACCTTTAGATGGCATCTGTCTTCCCAACTG